CACTAAGATTGGCCCCTAGTCCACATGCAGGGAGGCAGCAAGAAGTATGCTTTGAGGCTGGCTGTGGGCACCTTCTCCTGGGGCCCCGAGGATTGTGCTCTCAGAATAAGGGTCATTGATGTCTACAATGCATCGAACAACTGGTCTGCACCACAACCCTACTAAAGAACTGCATCAGGCTCATTGACAGCACATCCCACCGACTGTGGTACAAGTCCCACTCTGCACTGTCCCTGGGCCACAAGAAGGGGGCCAAGCTGGTTCCTGAGGAGGGAGAAATTTTAAACAATCAAAGAAAATTCAGAAGAAATACGATGAAAGGGAAAAGAATGCCAAAGTCAGCAGTCTTCCAGACGAGCAGTTCCAGAGGGGCAAGCTTCTTGCACGCTTCATTTCAAGACCAGGCCAGTGGGGCTGCACAGAGGGCTATGTGCCAGAGGGCAAGGAGCTGGAGTTCTAGCTGAGAAAAATCAAGGCCCAGAAAAGCAAATAAAATAGGAGGGCTATTTTAGTTCATGTAATAAAGGTGTTTATTGTTCAAAAGGAAGAAAGGAGAGAGAGAGAGACAGAGACAGAGAAACATTGATGTGAGAGAGACACATTGATTGGTTGCCTCCCACACGTGCCCCTACTAGGGCCAGGGATCGAACTTGCAACCCAGGTACGTGCCCTTGATCAGGAATCGAACCCTGGACCCTTTCGGGGGCCCATACTCTAACCACTCAGACACACTGGCCAGGGCTACATGATTATTTTTTAACGTTCTATGAATCCCTTAAAATCATCTTTTGTCCCCCAGTGACAACTTTGGGAGAAGTATCAAGTGTTTTAGTCCAACCTGTTTACAATAATCAGTTAAACATGGATTGTCTGATCCTCCCCACCACCACTGAGCAGCGTGCACCCTGGGGGACTTCCTGTGTATTCACTGGACAACTGGTGCCCACCAAGGGCCAGGCCAGACTCTGAACCCAGTCCTGCCTCCACTACCTAAATTGTGTGACCCAGGTAAAAAAACTGCCAATCTCCTTGAAAAAGTGGGATGCTAACAGTGCGAGAAGCATCCCTGTGCTGGGCTCAGTAAAAAGATCAGGACCAGTTTACACTGCTCTCACCATGGGGACATGCAGGCCCCACATTGCCAAGTCAGGTGGTTTTCAAGAGAAGCTGGGAGTTTTGATGTGGCATCTCCTGTTTGTTGAGAGTGGGCCACTAATTTAAAATTATAAAAGGGTCAAAAACTAGAGTTAAACTGAACACATCAGTGGATCAAATGAGGCCCAAAGACTGGGGGTTTATAACCTCTGTTCCAAGACTTTGCAGCCACTTGTGGAGTCCATTCATCTGGCATTTGTGACTGGGAGCCTACTTTAGGGCAGCTGCTGGCCCAGGGCTGAGGAGGGCAGAGAAGTCCAGAAATGCTCCAACAGAGGTGCAGACAAAGGGCAGCGCCCCACTGCCCAGGGGCAGCTGTCCTGGCCCAGCAACCTTTGTTTGATTCCCGCCTGGACTTCTTTGAAGACATTTCAACTGGAATCCAGCAAAAACCTAGAGGCCTACAGCCTGCCTTGGTTTCTCTTTTCCTGCTCAGCCGTTTCCGGATGCTCCAATCTTTGCCATTCAGGGACCTGGATGGGCCTTTTCATAAAGTCAGCATTGCTGATGTGTAAAAATAACTTGAAGAAATTCACTCCAACTTGCCCAGCATGGGCTAGTTCCTCCTTTATCGCTCCGCTCTCCAGTGCGCCTGCTTCATGGGGGCCACCTGGACCACCCAAACTGAAATAGTATCCCTCCAGGACATCACTCTGTCTTCTGTTCTTCTGTCCACTGCACTTACTGCTATGAGAAATTTTTTGTTTTACATGCCACTTACTGCTCTGGCTGTTGGCATCCTAAGAGGAGGGACCAAGTTTGTCTCATGAACTCCCCAGGACAGAGCCTGTTCTCAAGGACTCTTTGGGGAATAAATAGATAAACAGAGGTGATGGGATAAATAGATGAATGAAGAATTGGATTTCATCTTTACAGCCCAGAGATGCTGCTAAACCCCCTGCTACTCAGTGGGCAGGAACTGTGCAGGAGATATTAAAATGACATTTTCCCTGCCCTCGTAGAGCTCTTTAGCTATTCACCTGGGTTCTAGATGCTTCCAACAACCTGACTATCCCTTGATAATACAAAATTCCATTTCCCTCCGGTCATCTCCTCTCCCCTGAGTCTCACCCCTTCAGACCTCCATTCAAGGGGAGGGAAGAATGGCTTCGTGCCTCATACCCTCCCACACTTCTGGGCCACTCACAATGTGCTCAGACTCCATGGCCTGCTTCAGCTCCGGGGGAAAGCGATCCACAAGGAAGCCCTGGCTCTCCGGCAAGACAGCATGTTGTCATTGATCATATCTAGGAAGGAAAGGGATAGGTGGATCAGTGGCCAGGGGCCTTTGTGTACAAGGTCACCTTGGCAAATTCTCTTCCTCAGTCTGGACCTCAGGTGAATTCAGGGAACAGCTACCCCACCCCATACCCGAGATTTTGAGTCTCTTTTGACGCCCTGAGGCTTCCAGAAGTTTCTAAGAAATGGACACAGCAACTGTCTGTTGTCCACCACGTGCCAGGCTGGGTCTCATTTACTCATCACTACCACCTTACAGATAGGTACTAGGGTGACCTTCATTTTACAGGTGAGGAAATAGGTGTAGAGAAGGGGCCAATGGTATACGTAATCAGGGAATAAATGCTAATTAATTTTATTGAGCACTTCTTAAGTGTCAGGCACTCCACCAAGCACTATGTAAGAATGATGTCATCTAGCCCTGGCCGGTGTGGCTCAGCTGGTTGGAGCGTCATCCTGTACACCAGAAGGTTTCCGGTTCCATCCCTGGTCGGGGCACATGTGGGAGGCAACTGATCGATGTTTCTTTCTCTCTCACATAGATGTTTCTCTCTCTCCCCCGCTCTTCCTCTCTCTAAAAAGCAAACAAAAAACACACACCCATGTCCCTGAGTAAGGATTAAAAAAAAAAGAATGGTGACATCTAACCCTCAGCAGACTTGCTGTGGGTCCAGTTGCTCTCCTGTTTTACAGATGAGGACACAGAGGCTCAGGGCAACAAAACAGTGTTGAGGTGGGGAGCTTCCATGGGGCCTTTCCCAGAAGTCTGTCCCAATGCATCCCTTTCTTCCCTCTTCCCCTGCACTCATGAACTCTCACCCTGGGCACCAGGAGCCCCTGTAGCATGATGTCACAAATTTTCTGCCCCGGCTAGGTAATGCCTTGGGTCTCCTGCCACAGCAGCTGGCTCAGCCCCACATGGCAGAACCCATAATTAACCGCCATGGTCCTGCACTGCGTCCCTTTGCCACAGCCTGGGCCACCCATCACAAAGATGGAGGGACCTGAGGATGTCTGCAGTGCCCGGGGAAGACAGAGGGAGAGTGGTTGGTGCCTGTAGGGGTCACTGGGCACTGATGTGATTGTGTCCACAGCTCAGTTCATGTCCTTGGTGTGACACCAGACACAGGTCTGCTGGCATACCCACTTTTGCCCTAGGGTGGAATCTGAGGGTGTATCCAGGCTTGGCATACATTACTGCTGCTGTGGGTTCTATGGGTGAGGACGTGAACCTGAGCGGGCTAGGCCCCTTGCATGCAGCATCTCCTTGAGGCACCATAGTAACTCTATCATCCCATTTTACAGTTGAGGAAACTGAGGCTCAGATAGGGGCAGGGACTTGCCCATCCCCCAGACTCATCCCATATCACCATCCCCTTCCTTTACTCTGGTCCAGCCCCAGCAGCCTCCTGGCCTCCTTTCTGTCCCTTGAACTTGCCAAGCTCATTTCCCCCACAGCTGTTCTCTCCATCTGGGAAATCCCTGCCTCACTGCCTTCAGGTTGCAACACACCCATCATCATTCCCTGTGTTGGAATGCAATTTCCTCCACAGCAATGGCTATGATCAGTGATGACTTTGCCTGTTTATTTATTTTGCCTCCCAGCCAGTGTACTCCAGGAGGCAAGGACTATATCTGTCTCATTTGTTCCTATATTTTTAGTAGTTTACACTTCCTGACATAATAGCAGTGAGTGAGGAGCTTAAGGGGTGTTGTAGTTTATGATGCAATTTTAGTGTCTTGCTTCCCTCTGCCTTTTCTTAGTCAACTCCTATGCATCCCGCAGGGCCCAGCTTAAACCTCCCCTCTTCCCTGACTCCTCAGAGCCAGCTGTGCTTTTCCTGTGACATCTCCTGAGTTGTAGGCACCATTTTCTGAGACTGTCTCCTCGACTACACTGCAATCTCCAAGAGGCCAGGGAGCTGGATTGACAGTCACTCTGGACCACCCTGAACCCAGCACAGCAGACGCTCAAGGGGATTGATGAATAGCTGATCTGTGAGCTTGTTCAGCTGTGTTACTACTATGGTGTGGGCGAGGAGCGGTGCATACCTGGTCAAGTGGGGTGGGGTACCTGTACCACCCTCCTGCCCTCCATAGCCTCCTTCCCCGCCCCGTCCCCCAGTAAGCCGCCCCCCCAACGATGTTACCCTTTTCCTGGGGCCTCAGGGGCCTGCCCATCTGGGGTAGCTTGTATTTGCACCGACCCATCCTGCCAGCTGCCTCTGGGGTTGTCGCACCCCATCTCCGCTCAGGCTCTGACTCCTTCGGGCTCGGCTCTACGTCACAAGGGCGCCTGGCCCAATCATTTAGCAAGATGATGGTGCCCCACGGGGCAGGGAGAAGAAATGAACTCCAGTGAGGCTCAGGTGGAGCCTCAGCTACTGGGCGCCAGAGAGGCCTCGGTTGCTATGGTGACGTGGCCTCCTTGGACTCACTTCCGGAGTGGGGCGGAGCAGACAGAGGCTCCGAGAGCCGGTGTTCGGAGAGAGTGTCTCCCTCCCCTCCCAGGATGCCCCGCTGCCTTTGCGTGCTGACGTCACGGGAGGGCGTGACCACGCCATGGTTAGATTAACTGCGCTATATAAAGCAGTCAGTGGACGCGCGAGCTCCAGAAGGTATTTATTTCAACCTTGGGCTGGCTCGTCCGTGCGAAAGGCACGAGGAGGCTAGGTGACAGTTCGTTGAGGGGCCCGGAGTGGAGGAAGAGGCTGCCATCGTGACGCGGCCCGCGGGCGAATTTCTCTTTCAGGTTAGGCGCAGGCGCAGATGTGTTAGGAGCGGCCACTAAGGCGGACCGCTGACCCCGCAGCGCTTCCGGGTAGCTTTACTCAGGATCGGTGGCACCTCGGACTTGGGGTCTTCGATCCGGGCCAAAGACCCGACACCACGAGGGCGGCTTTCCCCTGTCTGAGGGTCGGGGACCGCAAGACAGGCGAAAAGGACCCGGATTGGACCATACCCGAACCACCCACCCTTGCCCATGGCGGCCTTCGTAAGTATGAGGCGGGGTCCAGGGGTTCCGACGGCCTCTGCAGCCCTTCACTCACCATCCCGCTTTCTCTTCCTGCAGGGCCCCGGCAGCCACAATATCACTGAATATGTCGTTCGAGTTCCCAAGTAAGT